AAGGGGTCCCAGATTGGAGAGGGTGCAGGCTGGGCTAAACAGACTCCTCCACCCCCACCCCCCGCACAAATTTTGTGCACCAGGCCTCTAGTTGTGTATAACAGGATATTGTAAAAATTAAGTTATGAAATTTTTATTAAAACATTTCTTACATACCGTTATATTGACTGGGCTGCAAAAATATTCGTTGTGGGCCACATGCGACCCATGGGCCGCAAATTTGACATGCTTGGAATACCATGTTCATAGATTGGAAGAATTAACATCATTAAAATCCCTATACTATCCAAAGCAATCTACAGATTCAAAGCAATCCCTATTAAAATACAAATGGCATACTTCACAGAGCTAGAACACATACTCCAAAAATGTATATGGAACCATAAAAGATCCCAAATAACTGCAGCAATCTTGAGAAAGAAGAATGAAGTAGGAGAGATCACAATACCGGATATCAAACTATACTACAAAGCCATTATAACCCAAACAGCTGGTACTGGCACAAAAACAGGCATATAGACCAATGGATCAGAACACAGACCCCAGAAATTGAACCACACCATTGTGGCCAATTAATATTTGACAAAGGAGGCAAGAACATACAATGGGGTAAAGACAGTCTCTTCAACAAATGGTGCTGGGAAAACTGGATAAACATAAAGCTGACACCTGATATCTCATCAGAAACTCTACAGGCCAGAGGAATGGCATGCAGTACTCAAGGTAATGGAAAGCAAGGATCTGAGACCAAGATTACTATATCCGCAAGGCTATCATTCAAAATATATGGTCAACTAAAGAGCTTCCCAGACAAAAAAAAAAAAAGGGTAAAGGAGTTCATCACCACCAAGCCAGCAGCACAAGAAATGCTAAAGGGATTGCTGTAAGGGATTGCTGACAAGAAGAAACAGAGAGAGAAACCTAGCCATATAGAATTAAAATGTCTATAAATAAGTACCTCTCAATAATAACCCTAAATGTAAATAGATTAAATGCTCCAATCAAATGGTATAGAGTAGCTGAATGGATACAAAAACATGACCCAATTATATGCTGTCTACAAGAGACGCACCTCAAAACAAAAGACACACACAGGATGAAAGTGAAGGGTTGGGAAAAAATTTTTCCATGCAAAGGGAAAAGAAAAAAAAAAGCTGGAGTAGCAATACTCACATCCAACAAAATTTACTTTAAAAGCATCATGCTAAGCGAAATAACCCAGTCGGAGAAAAATAAGTATCATACAATCTCACTCATTTGTGGAATATAATGAACAACATAAACTGATGAACAAAAACAGAGCCAGAGGGGAACAAAAATATTCTAGAATATAATAGAAGTAATCTTGTTATTTGCAGATTTTTAATATTTCCTACAACTTTTGTGATATCATACTATGTAAGTACAGTTTTGGTAATACTATTGTATTTAAAATCCTTTTATTCTTGAAATATTAATGTTTATTCCATGTAATATTATTATATGTAAGATCCAAAAAATAAAAAAGAAAAAATGGGCAGAGGACCTGAATAGACATTCCTTCAAAGAGGACATGGAAATGATGGAGAGACACATGAAAAAATGCTCAAAGTCACTAATCATTAGAAAAATCCAAATTAAAACCACAATGAGATATCACCTCACACCTGTCAGAATGGCTATCATCAAAAATCAACAAACAGCAAGTGCTGGCAAGGATGTGGAGAAAAGGGAACCCTAATTCACTGCTGGTGGGAATGCAGACTGGTGCAGCCACTATCCAAAACAATATGGAGTTTCCTCAAAAAATTAAAAATGGAACTTCCTTTTGACCCAGAGATCCCACTTCTGGGAATATATCCTAAAAACCCCAAAACACCAATCAGAAAGAATATATGCACCCCTATGTTCATAGCAGCATTATTATAATAGTTAAGATTTGGAAACAGACCATGATTCCATTAGTAGGTGAGTGGATTAAAAAAAAAGCTGTGGATCATTTACTCTATGGAATACTGTGCAACTGTAAAAAAGGGATCTCTTACCCTTTGGGACAGCATGAATGGACCTGGAAAATATTATGCTAAGTGAAATAAGCCAAACTGAGAAAGACAAATATCACATGATTTTACTTATTTGTGAAATCTAATGAACAAAATGAATTGACCAACAAAATAAGACCTGAAGCAGGGAGGCATGGAACAGATTGGCATACCTCAATGTGGGGTTGGGAGGACAATAAGAAATTTGTGCATGGCGGGAGCGGGAGAGGGGGCTCCCTCAGCCCAGCTGTGCCCGCTCGCAATCCGGGACCCCTGGGGGAATGTCCAACTGCCGGGCCTAAACTGGCGGTCGAACATCACTCTCGCAATCCAGGACCCCTCGCTCCTAACTGCCTGCCTGCTCACTCCTTACCACCCGCCTGCTTATTCCTTACTGCTTGGCTCACCACTCCTTAGCACTGCCACAGAGGTGGGAGAAGTTTCCACCACTGCCAGTGCACTCACCAGCTGTGAGCCCTGCTTCTGGCTGAGCGGCGCTCCCACAGTGTGGGAGCACACTGTCCACCAGGGGCAGTTTCTACTTTGAGCATCTGCCCCCTGGTGGTCAGTGAGCATCATAGTGACTAGTGTTCTGCCTTAATGATCGCTGGCTTTTATATATATAGATATCATAGCCTATGGACATGGGCAATAGGGTAGTGAAGACCTAGGAGGCTGGGTAAGGGTTGGGAGGAGAGGGGAATGGGGGGAAATAGGAGATATCTGTAATATTATCAACAGTGAAAGATACTTTTTAAAAAATTTTTTAATTAAAAAAAGAAAAGTTTAAGTGAAAACCCTGTTGTCCTGGATTTGAATTAGAAACATCGATATGAACTCATAAATTAGTCTTAACTTTCTTAGCTTTATCCAATGAAAGAGTCTAGAAACCATGACTAGCCCAGAAGCAAATGGCACACCTATTAGCCAGAATAAAGTTTCAAAATACCACTCTCCACTAAAAGAACCAGGAACTCTTAGATAGGTGGCCAATTCAAGATCTGGGACTACATACTTATAAAATAGATTGAAATATATCTTAATATCTTTTAATATTTTTAATATACTTTAGGAAGTTCTCAAAGACAACTGAGTTTATGACCAGAGGACTCAGAGCCAACTTTTAGAGGCTCCTGCTAGCCATTGATGGGACATCAGTGAGCATCAGGAAAAAGAATAACTACCGTAGATTGAATGAAACACATATGTTAAATTCATCCATTTATAAATTATAATAATAATAAACTAATAGGTCACCATTAGAGAATGTTAGAGGAACCAACTCATTGTTCTGAAAACTGATAGATAAAAGAAAAGAGTCAAGCATTTACTAACAAACAAGCTGTACCACTGGGTAACAGGAGAGTAATGGCTAGGGCACGGTCGGGGAAGGGGAGGAGTCTTTAGCAAAGACTACATCTAATATAAGAAGAGACAATTGAATATAATCAGCATTTTTCAACCTTGAATGAATTAGAAGATCCGGGCTTTGCTCATCAGTGGCTGCTGACATCCCCAAAAGACGGGCAATTATACACATCCTGAGAAGTAGTCTCACCAAAAAAATCAAACCTTTCACCCGTTAAGGCCTCTTCTAGATCCAACTTCCATTTTACAGGAAATACAGAAGCCAGAGGAGCATGTTAACCTGTCCCATGAGGATGCAGTCAGCAAAATCCTGACTCTGCCAAATGATTCAGTGCAAGGGGAGAAAGCGCAGAAGAGGGGAACTTATTGATTAAAAGGGATAAAAGGCGTATCAGTCAACTGCAGTGTGCAGATCTGATATGGATTCTGATTTTTAAAAAAAATATTAAAATTTTATGAAATTCACAAGATAAGTGAAAATAGGAACATTGACTATCTACAGGGGTGGGCAAAAATCAGTTTACAGTTGTGAGTATGCAAAAGTTTATTCTTGTAGTATGATTTATTGACTAGAGGCCTGATGCATGAAAATAAGCTTGGCCCCCACCGTGGCGGTGGCGGCTGCCTCTACCTCGGCCCCCGCCACTGCAGCTTCGTCCGGAAGGTTGCTGAAAGGACGTCCAGAGGATGTTCAGTCTAATTAGCATATTATGCTTTTATTACTATGGAGTATTGTATTATTTTCCATACAAACAACTGTAAACCTACTTTTTCCCACCCCTGTATTTAAAAACTACGGAATTGCCCTGGCTTATGTTACTCAGTGGTTAAGCCTGAACCAAAGGGTGGCAGGTTTGATTCCCAGCCCTGGTCAGAGCTCATATGGGAGGCAACCAATGTATGTGTCTCTCTCGCATCAATGTTTCTCTCTCTCTCTCTCTCTCTCTCTCTCTCTCTCTCTCCTGCCTCTCTCCCTCCCACCCTCTTTATAAAAAATCAATGGAAAAAATATCCCCAGATGAGGATTAACAAAAAAATAAAAACAATAGTAACTGGAACTATGTATTATTAATTTCTAGGTGTGATAATGGTATTGTGGTAATTTTTGGTTGTTGTTGTTAATCCTCACCTGAGGATATTTTTTTTCCATTGATTTTTTTTTTTCTTTTAGAGAGGGTGGAAGGGATCAACTCTGCAACCTAGGTATGTGCCCTTGACTAGAATCAAACTCACCACACTTTGGTGCATAGGCCAACACTCTAATCATTAAGAAACACTGACCAGGGTGGTATTGTGGTAATTTTTATGGAGTCCTTATGTTTTAGAGCTACAAACTGAAATATTACAGAAGACATGATATGATGTCTACATTTGCTTCAAAATAATCCGAGGAGTGGACATGGGTGGGTGTAGCTGGGACATGACTTGAATGATTTGATGGGTGTTGAAACTGGCTGACAGATGCATCAAGAGTTTGTTTGAACATTGTCTCCTTTTGGAGATGTTTGAAATTATCCATTGTCAGGGCACATGCAGTTGTCCTCTGCAGTGTGCCGAGCTAATAGACGGCCAAGAAATCCAACCTTCTCTCTTTGTGCCCATGCAGTGCTCCAAGAGCTGCCAGGGGGGCTTCCGGGTCCGGGAAGTACGCTGTCTGTCAGATGACATGGCCCTAAGTAATCTCTGTGACCCTCAGTTGAAACCAGAAGAGAAAGAATCCTGTAACCCTCAGGACTGTGTCCCTGAAGTCGGTAAGTAGGGATCCTGGAGTAAAGATTCATCTTTGTTAAGCTCTGTCAAGTTCTCTGGTGTGAAATGCCACATCCACCTGGAGTTCAGGGGTCAAAGTACTTTTGGTATGTTAAGTTTATAAGCCTGGATGGTGAGCCAAGCCACCCACCAAAAAATAAACTTAAATGTGAATTGATTAAAATGGTAATGCATTCAGAGACTTGGTTCCATCATCCTTAGGGTCAGAGTAGTGAGATTTTAATGTCATGTTTAAAGACAAAGAAAAAGCCCTACCTGGTTTGGCTCAGTAGATAGAGCGTCAGCTTGTAGCCTGAAGGGTCCTAGGTTCAATTCCAGTCAATGGCACATACCTCAGTTGCAGGCTCCTCCCCAGCCTGGACCTGGTCAGGGCACATGCAGGAGGCAATCAATGTGTTTCTCTCACATCGGTATTTCTCTCTGTCTTTCCCACTCTTTCTTCCACTCTCACAAAAATCAGTGGAAAAATATTCTCAGTTGAGAATTTTTAAGTAATAATCTACATACTAGTATATAAAAGGCTAATATGCAAAGTGTCCCCTTGGGAGTTCGACCGGGAGACCGGGAGTTCTATTGCTCGCTATGATGTGTGCTGACCACCAGGAGACTGCACGGAACATGGAGGGCGGGTGGCAGCGGGGCGCTGAGGGAGCGAGGGAAGGAGGAGGCGGGGAGGCGGGGAGGCGGGGAGGCAGGGAGGCAGAGAGATGGGGAGGCGGGGCATCTGATTGGCCCTGATTGCTGGCCAGGCTTAGGGACTCTACCAGTGCACAAATTTCCTGCACTGGGCCTCTAGTAGTAATAATAAAGAAAAAGAAAAATGCAAGCTCTTAGTGCACACCCACACTCCATCAGCAATAGGCAGCAGGACCAGGATGGAGAGCCCTCACCTCACTTTCTCTCCCCAGTAGTCCAGGCTGCCCCTCGTGCTCAGAGCATCTTGTTCTCTCCTGCTACAGATGAAAGCTGCAAGGACAGATACTACAACTGCAACGTGGTGGTGCAGGCCCGCCTCTGCGTCTACAACTACTACAAGACTGCCTGCTGCGCCTCATGCACTCGCGTGGCCAACAGACACGCGGGCTTCCTGGGGAGCAGATAACACCCCCGCACCTACCCAAAGAGCAGAGCAGCAAGTCTGTAAGAGGGTGACTGGCAGGCTGCTGATCCACCAGAGGCTCCCTGGCCCAGGGCGCTGCCAGCCAATTTGGTCACCAGCCTCGCCTTCAGTAAAGTGTCCACGCGGTGCCCAGGCACAGAGCCACAGCTCTGAGCATCGCCATCAACTGAAGTTCCCTCCTTGGGCAACCTGGCAACCTCTAACAGTGCTCTCTGAAAACCAGTCAGGGGGGCGTTCAGGCAGCTCTCAGCCAACCCCTCCTGGCACTTTCAAGGCAGCAATTTAGCCCTGACTGGGCACTGCCTCCCCCAGGGGGCTATTGGCCTTTCCAGTATCAGCACCTCCTGGACAGTCCGAGGAGGCAGCACCGGTACCCAGGGCCCCACGAAGCCTTGCTGAGCTGCCGGCATCCCTGTTACCTCAGCCCCGCTGTGCCTGTCCTCTTTCTCAAAGACATTAAGTTGTTTGCCTGCCTCATGACACAAACACCTCCTGTCATGCAGTGCTTTATTGTTTCACAGGTATAGTCACAAATATTAATTCCTTAGCAGCTTCTAACACCCCAGAAGGGAGGCAGGGAATGAATCATTGTCCCATTTTACTAGCCAGGAAACTGAGACTCATTGACCTCCCAGCCATATTCACCTGTTCAGTGGCAGAGCTGAGTCCCAACCCCAATCATCTGACCACAAAACCCTGACCCCAAGGCCTGTCCAGAAGCCTTAGGTCTGCAGGATGCGGCTTCATTTCAGACCAAGAGTGAGAATTTCCTAATTAGCAAACAAAACCCAGGTCTTTGAATTCTTCCCTCCAACCAAAGGTCAAAACTTTATCCCAGCATCAGTTGTTTCAGAAGTCTGTTTCCACCAATCCCTTCCCCCACAGTCACAGGCCCTCATCACAGGACTCTGCAGCTCCCATTAAGCCCCATCCTTAAAGAAACTCGCCTCTGAGATCATAAAGGCCCTGGGTATCACAGTCATTGCCTGAAATTCTGACTTCCTTCCCCAGTGAGATGTTTTCCCTGGAACCGGAAGTCAGTGTCCCTTTGGCCACAACAGTCCCTTTCTGGTCCCAGAGCAGGTTTCCAGAGCTGTGTGCTCAGCCCCTCCTCAGCCACCCTGCTGGGCTGTTCTCTACACGTGCCTGGTGGAAAGTGTAACCAACCCACACCAGCAAAATCCTCGTTTCTATTAGTAAGTGTCTCCCTTTTGTCTTTTTGGTTTGATTTATGGATTTCTCTCTATTACTTCAAATCCTTCCTTTCCCACCCAGGACTGACAACCCATGTCCCCGCCCCCCTCCCAGACAGGAGCACTAACACCTACATTAATGGAGCCAGTCTGGGAGGAGGGGCTGTGAGCTCAGGCGACAACTGCATCAGAGGGCTCTTCCCTGACTCACCTCACCTAACTCTGTAGCTCCAGAGCCTGCCGGGTCAGTAGGGGGTGCGGGTACAGTGCCTATTGAGAGAGGAACTCTTTGAAATATCCATTAAGAAGAAGAAAATATATGTACATATTTTTTCTTTTACCCATTAAGAAAAGTACCAGGCTAAACAAATTGTAAGCTCTTAGTACTGTGGTCCTGGGCCCATTTCCCTTTTAAAGCAAGCCTTAGCAATTGAGTTTCTCCCAGGAGCCCTTTAAACCAGAAATCCGCTAATTAGATGATCACTTGCAGTTTTTGGAAGCAGTATCACCAGTTAGCCTGACACAGGCTGTGTTTCCAGGGATTCTCTTTGGCTTTCCTGTGGCTGTCCTCTTCCTGGGGAGCCCCAGCACCACTCCCCAGAAGCACCGCCTCTCTCCTGGTTCTTAGGGGACTCCTGCAGAGAGGCAGGCAGGAAGGGGCCCGGCTCCTCCGGCCTCCAAGTGTGTCAGTGATTTCATCCCGTGTCCCCTCTTCCTTTCGCTAGAAGTTTTTTGCTTCTAATCACAAGGGGAGTTTGTCCTTGACACAGCAGCCTG